ATATCTGCCAAGTTCAGCATGGAGATACAAGTCTTTAAGGTAATGGGGTTCACAGAACCTCCTGAGAACTGTTTGCTGAGGACTATTCGACAGATCGAAGGCAGCTGTGGTGTGTTCTGCAGCCAGCTGAGCAGTCAGCAAGATTGACCTAGCTGACTAGTCAGTGTCCGTGCAGCTTCAAAGCAGTCAGCATGCGAGACTGGGCATCAGGGTTTATGAGAGAATTGCGCGGGAGACCTGCCTGTACTGTAGTTTGCATTAGGAAGTTAAGCAGACTCAAGAAACAAGTCTTTCTGAAACCAGGCATTGCTAGTTCCACTAGCCGTGGAGAATCCAATTTTTAATGAGGAACAGAGGTTCTCACGCAGCCACATGTTTCTGGAGTCTGCTTCTAGCATAAAACATCTACTATGACGAGTCATGCTGCCCTATGATGTTTATTTGGACTTGCAAATGGAGCTACAGATCAAGATAAAGTAAGAGTATTCCCTGGCAAGTAATGGGGAAGATGAGCTGGATTTGTGGGAATGAGAGAGAGGTAAGCAAGAGATTTTTGCACTCTTTAAATCTACTATAGGAGAAGGAGTTTCGACTTTTTCTGATCTTCAGTGTGATCTTCGAATTTGACTGAACAAATTTAAAGAAGTCAAACCTCCTGAGTCATCAGACATTTAGAACGAAGTAGCATTTGGAAACACCCAAAACTTTAAACTTGGCATCAAAACACATTCCATTTGATTCCATTTGTATATCAAATACTTCTTAGTTTTTGTTGTCAAAACAGGAAGCCTCACAGCTGTCTACTCAGTCAGCACAGCACTCTTTTTTGCTTTCTGCTGTTTTACTTTGTTCTAATAGGAGTAAAATATGCCTTCCTCTCCCTGCATGGGAATCTCATTTGGGAAGAAAAAGTCCTGCTGATGTCTCAGATTGTTTTCAAATCACTACTGACTAGTTAAGGCAATGCAGAGGCTAAATTATTCTTTTTGTTAGGGCAAACTTTTCTCAATGAACGGTATGATCAACTGGCTTAGCTGGCATGGCTCATGGACTTCCAGCTATTCACCTTTTAAATCAGATACAGTGGGCTAAATAATATCAATCTTGGCAGGCCACTGCTCCCTTGAGCTTCAGGAATAAACACTTGACTGTTAGGAGCCGTGAAAAGCCGTGAGCCATTTATATCTAGTGAGATAAAGTCATAAGAAAATATTGGGCACGGTAAACTGTCATAAAAGAACATGTTTCAAAGGAAAAAAGGTCAGAGAGAGAAATGCCCTTGAAAGTTTTTTAGACATTTTTAAGATTTGGTGAAACTAAAATAGAAGCCCTTCAGAAATTCATCCATCTATCCTTCTGCTTTAAGAAGTCTAAAATTTATTTTGTGTAAGCTATAAGGCATACACACACCAACCAGAGAAGCAACTGTGACTCAATGCACGTCAGAATCTTCTGCCTTACTCACTGACAAAATATACACGTGCATGAAATTGCAATTTATACACACTGTTGCAATACTGAGACTGTCCTTCCCTTGTTCTCAGACTGAAGAAAACAAGTAGAGGAAAATGAAATAGCTGCTTTTTTTCTTCCTTTTGTGCAGATCAAATTTCTTTGCTTTCTTACTTGAGCAAACATGCACTTCTGTGCATAGCAATAGGCTTACAGATCAGAGAGGCAGAAAGCTGTCTATTCTTACAAGCAAGTGCACAAAACCAAGACAGAACATCTTTATGGAGACAGGCAACAGAGAAAAAGACCGTGAATACGTATGTACAAGCAGCTTACCTGTGCTTTGACTGCCTTGCTTGTGTCTTCTGCTGCTGTTCCTGGCCTGTCTCCACTAGCAGACTGATTCACTGGCAGAAACCTGCCCTGATAAAAGGAAGTCAAAACACAATAGCACTTCAGGGTAGCAGCTGTGAGTGTCATGAGCTGGCAGCATGTATTGTAGAGCGTGTTTAAGCGCTGATTTGGCAGTGCTTTCAGGAGTGGGGAAATCTTTGTGATGAAAAAGATCTTCTGGTTAAATTCACAAACCCAAACTGCACCATGGAGCAGGAGAGTTTAAGAAGTACCTACAAATCAGTGGTTAGGATGTTTAGCTGGGACATGGGTGTTCCAGTTCCCTGAGGCTGTGGCAGACCTTGACCTGTACTGTTGCCCAACAGTACAGGTCAAGTACACTGCCCAACAGGGACTGTTCCGAATGTAATCTTTTAGGATGAAGAGAAGGAAGTGTCCAGCTTCTCCCAACGTGCTCTCTCAGGAACACTGTCTCTGCTATTGCTTTTGATTTGGTTTATGTTACCTTTGACATTACACATAGACTCCTAAGTCTGTTTTTCAGTGAGCAGCACAACTCATTAAACCCATCTTATTCTACATTAGTCGCTCAGAGTTGACATGGCTCCGGTAGGAACCCTCTGGTGCCAAGGAAGTCTTCAACACATCTTAGAACCTTTCTCCCAGTGAGGGAACAAACAAGGGTTCTTGTTTCTCCCAAGACATTTTCATCAACCCTGAAAACATAGCATCTTTGGAGCTCTTTGCTTAACTACTGAGTTAGTTGCAGTCAGCCTGCTGGGTGCTCAGTCTTCACTGAAATTGGCTCGATGACCACGGGCAGAAGGACATGTTCTGTGCCCTTAGGCAGCTGGGCCAGAAACAAAGTAAAATCCTTCTACGTGAGGACCAGCCCTTTCAGCCAATTAACTCATAAGTGTCTTCAGAAGAACTTGTGTTTCATCATAGACTGATGAGCATTTAGAAGAACATCAGATGAAAAAGATGCTTTCTTGGGAACACCATTAAAATAATATGATGCCTTTGGGTGGTGGGAGAAAGAAAGGAGTGAAATAGGAACAGGATATCAGCAAAGCCACGGTAACAATTCTGTTTTACATATAAGGTAGAGAATATTGTTTGGGAAGGTGAAAAAGATAATTTGGTAATATCTTAGTGAAAAACATTATAACTCGGCTGCTCTAATGTCTCTAAGTGACAAAAACTTTCATCAAACCATAAATTAATCACTCAGAAGGACTTCTGAAACATGATGTCTAGTCCCTCCTCATGTCCCAAAGTGGGATCAACAGTCCGCATGATGATTCCAAAGCTGCTTGCCCTACCTGTTTTTACTGATTTTGCAGAAAATTCATCACACTGCCTCCTCTATGGTCTCTCAGGTTGCAAGACAGCTGCACAGCTGCAACCTCTTTTCTGGGTGAATTTGGAGGATGCTCTGGGTTCTTTCAGGTATATTGCTGTTGCATTCCATCACAAGTATTGAAAACTCATAATGTAGGTCTCAAGTCCTCATGCGTTTTCTTTATAAGCAGTGAGTTAGCTGAAGGACCGACTGTCTGGAGGCTCTTTGTCCCCAGGAATTTGTATTGAGTGTAAAGAATGTCCTTGTCTGGAAGGGAGCTGTTCAGTTTGAATCAAGCTCTACCTACATTCGTGGAGCACAAGGGAAAAGGACAGGCTTTAGCAGTGGGCTCAGGAGATGAAACAGGCCTGTTGTTTGTCCTGGAAGGGAAAGGGTCAGAAGTGGCGTCAGCTATGGTTAGTTTGTTCAGCTAATGATCTATTTTCCAGAGTGACACACGGATCCTTTGGTCACATAGTGTCACCAGTGAATTGTCCTAGTGTAACAGCTGTACCTGTCCTAGTTAGCATCCCAGACTTGCCCCGTGTTAACATTCAAATGGAGACTGAGGGTGTCAGGCTGGATGGAAATCCCTAAATGCAGTGTGTTTCTTTTCATAGTGAAGCTAATGGCATTTCATTGTGGAGGGACAGTGATCCATAATGCTACAATCTAATAACCATGGAGGCTACCCTTCAAGCGAGTGTCTGTACAATGATTACCTTTTTGAAACAAGATTGGTAGAGCCAGAGTTTCCCCAGAAAATTAAATAGGATGACAGTTTCTTCAGCACTGTTTTCAAAGCAGTCCTTCCCACAAATGGGCAAAGTGCTCTAAATACCTGTGGGGTGGAGATAATGGATTGTTTCTGGTGATGTTTGGGTACTTTTCATTGTAGTGTTTAAACCTCAAAGAGACTTCTCAGAGCCATAATAAAGGTTAGAACAGCTCAGCTCTATGGTAGCCAGTAGCTTCCATGTGAATTAGCAGATGTGAGGTTCCTGCTGGGTTCAGAGTGTAACTTTGAACCAAAGTGTCCCACTGAAGCGCTGTCATTGCCAAGATGAAATCAGCTCCTTCCTCCCACTCTGGGGAGTTCATATACACAGACTCTGAAAGTGCTGTCAGCAGAGATTGAGTCTGCCAAGATTTATTTATCACAGGGGGTGCCTTGAGCCCAAGTTTCCCATCTCCAGGTGCATGCTTGAACGACGAGTCTGGCTACTGTTTTCTGCTGGGTCTACTCTCCTTGTGTTCCTTGCTCTTCCTCATGAAAAAGAGTGAGAAGCCCTATTTCAAATGAAGACAAACCACCCTTATTTCAGGAGTGAGTTTTTTGTTTGAACTTCAATTTCACTTTCCAGTCATCATCTTGTCTAATAATCATCTTATCTAATAATAAAATTAGCCAGTACCCTAACTGCTAGAATTAGTCTTGGCTTACACTACATCTTTGAAGAATGGCCAACCCAATAAACAGAAATAATATGAAGAATGGAAAACCTCTTGAGATCACTGACCATATACAGAGAAAGCCAATGCTTTCATTACTGTGAGGGTCTAAAGCAGGCTGCAAGAAAACCCTGTCTTCTGTTAGCAAAGTACGGCTATTGCAGAATCTCGGCTGTATCAATTAAAAAGTAATCACTGACCCATAGAGTTTCCAGAAAGTATGAAGTGCACCATCAGGATGCAGAAGGCATTGCAGTGATATGTTGTGTGAAAATAGCATCAGAAGGAACCCTTCCTCTGATTCCAGCAGAAATTATCTGATGCAAAAGAAGGTTTTGTCTGTACCCTGTGAAAGCAAGTGTCATTGAATGAGTTAGGTACGGCTACAGGTTGTCAGTTAAAGATATTTCTGCATCAGATCAATAATTTCATTGTACATGCACAAAGGTGCATCCAATCCCCAGATGAAATCCAGGTGTGCCCATTCAGGAATCCTCTTGTGATAGATGACCCTCTTAATTTGAGACAGTAAAATGTCTGCATCCTTGGGATCTGCGAGCAAGTCTTGTCCCCCAGTCCATACTGCGGTTGGTACAGTCATCTCTTCTATATTGTAAAGAGGAGGAGTAGCCTGGAAAACATGAAGCAGCATAGGAATGAACATCCAGTATAGCACAGCAAACTTTACAAATGTATTTGGGGTTTTCTTGAGTCAATGTTCAAAGTAGAGGTTCCTAAACCAAACAGGAAGGAAGTGCCCTTGCTTGTCTTTTCTGTCTATGCTTGCAGGGATGACCCAGCTGATGGCACAGCTAAAGGAAAAATGTCTCCTGAGTTGACAAAGAGTTACTGTTGAGTCTTTGCCCTCTCAGCTAGGAATTCATAGGGTAGAAGCCCGGAACAAGACAGAAGACATCAGGATGCCTCTGGATAAACCCCCATCTTGGTCCTTTTGGAGTACTGGTCAGCCCCAGAATCATACAGCCATAGAATGGTTTGGATTGGAAAGGACCTTAAAGATCATGTAGTTTCAACTCCCCTGCCATGGGCAGGGACACCTTCCACTAGATCAGGTTGCTCAAAGCCTCATCCATCCTGGCGTTGAACACTACATGGTCTAGTTGGAAAACACATGTGACAAGGATGAAAAGGAGCATGGAGTGGCTTCTGTAGGAGGAGAAAGAAATAGCTTAGGACTTCTGAGTTTCGAAGACAGAGGCCAGAGCAGGGACAGGTGACAGGCTTATATGATCACAAATGGTATGAAGAAAGAACACAGGAAGTAAACAAACACAAAACCTAGAAGGCACCCAGTGACTTTCTAGGAGCAAACAAATTCAAGACAAACGAAAGGAAGTTGTGTTTCATGCAAGCCATCTTTAAAATATGTAACTCATAATGATAGGCTGTTGTGGAGACCTAAAGGGTAGGAGGGTCAAGGATGGGATTAGAGTCTTGGATGGAGGAGATGGCATGTTGCCATCGCTCAGCTCTGTGAGTGGCTGCTTCTTATGTTTTCTCTTCCCTCTCTGGTTTGAATACAGAAATCACCATTTCTAGTTCTTTCCTTGTGCTCCTTGGCTTTGCCTACAGTGTGGGATGTGTGAAAGACACCATCAATGGGATCTTAGTATTGAAGGTAAAGTGGCTGTTAACTCCTTTAACAGTAATAACAGCAATGACGATCAAGGCTTAGGAGTATTACTGTTGCATGTTTGTACTTGCCAGTCTGTGGCTAGATGCTGAATGAAGCCTGAGTCAATTTGCAGAGCTTCTTGCACTGTGCCTTTGTAACCCTTCTTCTTTACAGGTGTAGGCCATGGTTACAAAAGCAACTTAATCAAATCTAGTATTTTATGTAAATTCACAGCCAAAAGTATTGTTTGATTTTAAGTAAACGCCTGTGCAAATGTCACTCAAACACATCTATGTGCTCGCTGTGTTGAGAAGTGCATTAACACTCTTGCAAGTTCTCTGAGCTTGCAACAGCTTCCTGCTCTGCTCCAGAGCCTGCAGTGCTGCCAGGAAACCTTCCTTGCATGCAGCAGGTTCTGTGACTCAGCCCAGACTTCAAGAATCCTGGAAGTGTGAGCCTGAAGGCAGAAAGGTAGCTTCCATGAGCAGTTTTGCTGAGGATGTACTGTGACAGTACATTGTAAGTAAGGAATATAGTGAGTCTACTAAACAAAGAGTTTATTATTTATAGACCTGTTGCTGTCCAGACTCTGAGAATTTTGAAAGCAAGAGATGAAAATACAAGGGCTTTTACTAGTAAAAGTTGATTGTTTACAAAACAGCCTATGTCTTGCTCATTTCTTGATCCCGCATTGGAGACATAACTCAATTCTTAAGGCAAGCTCTGTACACAACTGTAGACATCCTTTATATAAGGTAATGGACACATAATAAAAAGAGCTCTATATACATCTGCATACAGGGCTTCCAGCATACATGTTATTACACTAACACTCATTCTTGGCTTCAAATGTACTGGTACCACATAGGGTATCTCTGTCTTGCTGAAAAAAAGATAAAGATCAATGAAAAACAGTGTTTTGAACTGAAATTTCCTGAATTTGTAAATTCAGGAAAATTTACAATTGAATTTGTAAACCACAGGTTGCATGTGTTTCCAGGAAGTTAGCAATGACTTCACAGCAGAATGTCAGCAATACCGTGCTCTATACCCTACAGCCAGAGGTGAGAACCTATTTTGTGTTCCAGAAGTTTGCTAGTACCTGACTCCAGTGAACTATGTTCTGGACAGAAGTTCCAGCAGAGGTTTGTGCGATATAAACACTGATTCGGTTCTGAAAGAAAATATTCAGTGAGTATTCTCTTCTTGCTTTCTATTCAGATGTACATCAAAACATCCATCACAGCAGTGTCATGTACCAATAAAACCAACAGAAATCAGAGTGAATGATTGGAGACTCCTTCAGAGTTACTCCAGATGTGGCGATGTGTCAGGTTTGAATTAACACCAAAAGAACAGCCCCCCAACCAGAAAATTTTCTGGAATGATTAAGAATCTGAAAGAAGCTAACAGGTGGAAAGCATACAATAGAAAGTCAGCAACTTAGACTCCAAACTAGATGATTTTTTCAGGAGTCTCAAGCAGATCCTCTGTGAGAAAAGATGGCTGTCAGAACAGCAAAAGGAACTGCAACTGCCTGAGGAATGCACGACTCTGAAATAAAACACACCCTAGACCTGCAGGCGTTTCTTAACAAGGTATGATGTGATCCTTCCTCAGAGAACACACTCTGAGGCATTCTTTTGGAAAATGCTGGAGCAAAACTTTGATGCCCAGGTGGTCTGGCCTGCAGCTAGGCATAGTATTAATAGCCCAAGTATGTCTTAAACTCCAGTGTCTGCCAGCTCTCTCCCAGGTACCCTCAGGGTATTCTGTGCCTCTGAGCACATCCCTGACAGTCCAAGGCTTGGAGGAGGAAGACAAGGGGGAATATGTGTGTTCTTTTCTCCGTTGCAAAGAGCTCCTGGAAACGTGAAGCTGGTAGGGGTTTTATTTCTTCTTCCGTGATGTGCCAGCATACTGAAGATCTCCAACAAGACCAGTAGTCACAGTATGAATCAGGAGATAGTGACCTAGGCACGGTCTGGCAGAAGGCAGACTGCAGAGTTTTGGGGGGCTTTGAGAAGCTGTTGACTGTAGGGATGGTGCCAAATGTTCTTCTGAGGAGTGATGAAGTGGTCCCCTGCCAGTGATGGGGCAACCAGCAGATACTGCTGTATGGTAGTGGGGACTGTTCCCTGCAATGTGATGCTGACTAATAGAAATTCAGGATTCACACCACAGGATAGGTGAGTTTTGGGAGCAGGAGCTTAAACTCAGTAGAGCTGGTAAGAGTTATACATACCATGTCAATATTTATCAGGTTACAGCCACCCAGACTGAAGAAGACACTTCTACAAAGCCTAGCAAAAGCTTGGTGGCTGCAGACAGGGACTATTAGCCTTCTTAGACATTCAATCTGGGGAAGGAATTCTCTTTTGCCAAGCAAACTCTGTGAAATACAAAGGTAACGTTAATTTAAGAATGTACACTTGTACATTGTGCTGTTGTTTTTAAAGAGTGTTTGTGTCCTGTTCCTCTTCTCCAGCACTTTCAGTGGTTCTCACTTACTTTTTCTTGATTTGCCAGATGATGTTCCCACAAACAAGAAAGAAGGAGCCCTTCCATTGCATCAGCCTGCTCAGGCATTACTCAATTTGTGTTACATCACTTTTATGAAGAGATATGTTAAATGTTAACTTTAATTTTTGTTTTAGCTCTAAGCTTACACATCAGTTGTGGCTTTGTCTACAGGCATCTTGGAAATCTTTGAGGATCTGCATTTCTGTACCTCTCTGGGTAATCTGTCCCAGTGCTGTGTTATTGCCCTATATAAAAAATTTTTCTTATTGTCCAGTCTGAACTTCCAAAGGCTTCAGCCATAAGGTAAACCTACCCACATGCAAATGAATAGACTCCATAAAGCCCTATACTTTCTGTTTATACATTTTAAGAGCTGAACAAACAAGTATATGGTTAAACAGTTGAAACCAAGATATCACATACCCTGAGCAATTTTTCGGGAAGGTAGAGGAGTTTTGTTGCTGGGCTTTTAGCATACTTAATAGTAGTGACAGGTGCCAATGCAAAATGGAGTTTGATTTTTTGAGCTAGCTCTGGTATTGTTGAGAATGCAATGAAAGCTGAGAAAAAAAAAAGAAAAAAGAAAAAAAAAAGGAGTTAAGAAAATCATCATTTGTACATTAGGCTGTTTTCAGTGTTTATAAATGCTATTCTGCAATTTCAAACCTACAAGCAACCTTGTTAATCGTTCAAAGACTATGGTTCAGCCTGGATTTGTGTGAAACCCCTTTTCACCATGTGTTACCAGCTTGTAGTTTTACTATCCTCTTCAGATAGAAAGTTCTTGCTATATTTTGCCTTTGCAGCTTTCTTCCAAAGCCATTTAAACATAAATACACACTTCTGATGTACATTAATGTATTTCATATACTATTGGGAGGAGAATCTGTTTTCCTTCCGGTCAATCCAATTTCAGACTTTCTTTTTTGTGTGTGTGTGCCCTGCCCAAACTGGCCAACTTCTCTTTCTGTACTCTCATCTTCCTATTTTGTTTATTTTGGTCAGCTAACCATCTGGTGTTGGGTACACCCGTGCATCTTGGAAAGAAACAATTTGTATGGCCCACAATCATTTCCATTATAATTCTAAGTCAACAGACTTAGAGCAGTGCATTATGTTTTATTGTACTTAAAATAAATTAAAAATGCCTACATAATAAAAATGGCTTATCCTATGTTTTCACACCTGCAAAGTGTTCATGAAAAGCCCAGGTACATTCAGTATCTAAAATCACATTTCAGTCCTGTTTTCCTGAAACATTTGTCTGTTTTGTGTAACTTACCAATGGTAGTACCTTGTGAATAGCCAATATAGTACAACTTCTCCTGTCCTGTTTTCTTCACAATAAAATTTATTGCTGCTGGAAGGTCAAACTTTGCCATCTCATCAAAACTGCAGGCAGGAGATCGAAAGAGAGGCATGCATAAATTAAAAATCCATTTGAATTCACATTTTTATTACAGGGTTGTTAGCAAAGAAACAACATGAACCATTTAGTGAATCATTCAGCTATTTTAGGGTCTGTGTTTTTCTGGCACTGGATATGAAAGATACTACTCAAGGTTTTCTGGGGAGTTTTCCTCCTTGACATCTACAGAAAGACTATAATGTCCAGAAGTTTCAGATTGAATTGTAATGGTCTACACAGAAGGAACAGGTGGTGATACAGTAGCAGAGCTCCATCCATGGAATGACGCATTTTGTACAATTTGGTGTTAAAGAAAAGGTATATTTTTAAATGTCCGTTAAAATAAGTGCAAAAATTTTTTTTACATTTTGTCTTTCTGGGATTTTAGTGTTATTGTAATACAGAGACTAGTGTTTCTAAATAGCTTCTAAAACTGCCTCCAGAATTGTGGGATGGCTTGTACGTAACATGTGCAGGTTCCTCTGAGTTGCTCTGTTACTGTATCTCTAGTTTGAAGAACCTTTTCTAGTAGTAATTAGAGAAAAGTAATCTCCACCACTATTAAAGCTCACAAGTGTGTACAGGGCCACCTGAGCAAAAGTGAATGTAAAGAATGCTTTTTAAAAGGTAGCATATATAAATCCCTGATTTAGCCAACTTAAATAAATATGTACAGGTGGGCAATGGAGATGTCCTTCAATGGTTCAGTCTACCTGAAAGCCCAGAATTCATCTTGATCAATGGAATAATTTTGATGATTTCTGGACCAGCGATTCCCTCTGCTATTTCCCATCCAAACGTCAAAGCCAGCATCAGCTAGCATGAAGCCCAAGCTGTTGCTGGGCAGGCTTGTGACCCAGTTACTAGCATCTCCCGATAATCCATGTTGGAGAAATACAGCAGGTTTCAAAGCTGAAAAGCAAATCAGAAACAAAACAATTTAGAAAATATTTTGCTTTTCTGGTAGTTCAGGGACTTTACTGTCCCATATTCAATATTAGGATTTGTTCCTATACCAACTTAAAGGGAGACAACTAATCATAAGAACAAAACATCCCTTTCTGTAAAGAGAGAACAACTTCTAAGCTTCTGTAAGGTTTTATGGAAAGATTTGCCTGACACCAGCGAAAACTACCTTGGCACTATCTGGTCGTCGTTTGTACAGCTCTACTGCATTAAGCTTGAGATTCTCAGCTCTGATATAGAGAATGAAGGTGTGGGATTGTTTTCAGAGGTTTCTTTTCCCAAAATATGAATCAGTCACTGATACTAACAGGGTGTAAGCAAAAACAAAGTGAAATTAGAAGCTGGAACAGCTTTCTCAAAACAGGCAGATTGGAAGATTGCAGCCTTTCCCCTAGTTTTGTGTTGTTTTTTTTTTAACTTCTACTCATCAACTCTTATTATGAGGGCATATGCTTCATATTACAGTGTATTTTTTGCTATAAATAGGTGTGCTTGACATAAATCCTGTTGATCTTGAAGGCTGTTCAGGGCAGTCAGAATTTGCTGCTAAAATTTCACTTGCATATACAAGCTTTGATGGACATTTTACAAATCCAAGGTATCTCTTTCCAGAGTGTGCTCTATCTAGGCTGATTTTGCTTCATACTAAAGAACTGTACCTGGATTTCCCTGATTCTGTGTACCATAAGGGATTCTGTTAATGGTAATGATATAACCATCTTCTGTCGTCACCTCATACTCCTCACTAGGATATCCTTTGTAGGTAATGAGCTCATTCTAGAAGAGAAGGTACAAATGCATTTGCTTGCAGAAGTCTATTTCATATATTATAAGCATAAGATATTCGCAATGAATAAATGTTAGACAGCAGATACAACTAGGGATTTAGTCTACATATATTAAGCATTTGAATAAAGCAATATCAGATTGGATATCGTAACCCTAGTACTACAACAGATTTCCTTCATTCTTTGTATTATATCCAGGATTTGACTATTCAGTTAAAATCTGTTATAAAAAGAATCTGTGTTATATTACTGCCATACAATCATAAGCCCTTGCATTCTGGTGACAGAAGAATCACTATAACCTCATAGCAGGAACTTCTGCTTCCCATAGCTGAGATGAGGATCTACCTGGGTGCATGCTCCTGATTTGCTGCAAGGCAAATTGAAACCAGTTTATTTAAACTACCTTCAGAGAAATCCAGAGAGCTTCCTGACTGCCCTTTTGTGAATGGCATATATGCACTGAAAAATTGACTATATTATGGAAAAAACAGGATCAGCCACTTGCACAGTCACAAGGAAAATCACTAGCACAGCCAATCTCATGCTCTGAAACAAATATTACTTTTGACCTGTAACATTCAACCTGTTTTGTTACAAAAGAGGATTGTTTTTTATAGCTTTTACTAAGAGAATTATCCTTGTAATTTGTCAGAAAAAAACCCAAGAGTTTAACAAGTGACTGAAGAACTAAACAGGTTTACTTGGGAAGAGGTGCTTTTCTGAAAAGCTGTCCATTTCTGATCTAAGACAGTCATTCAAAAAAGGAGAAAACACAAGTCACTAGTTATTTAGAGCCTTCTTTGCTGACAAAATGCTGACCTTCCAGATCATTGTATTTTCAGATAGGTGGATAGTGCCAGCAATACAAAACTGGTAAATGATGTTTAAAGGGAAATTAACTCTGTGGCTTTACTAAGGAAAGGTGTTTGTCTTAGCTTCTGTCAAACACAAGATGTGCTGTTACTCATTGAGAAGAGAAGAGAAGAGAAGAGAAGAGAAGAGAAGAGAAGAGAAGAGAAGAGAAGAGAAGAGAAGAGAAGAGAAGAGAAGAGAAGAGAAGAGAAGAGAAGAGAAAGCAGTAGTAGCAGTAGTATATAGAGTGATTAGAGAGGATGGGTTAAATATATGCAGCTTATCTACCTTGTTATTTCCAACACCTAGAAACCCCTCTGCTGTAAGGCATGCATTCCTTCCATCCCCAGGTCACTCTACCAAGCAACTTACAATATTCTTAAACGCTTCAGGATCCACAGCTCCCTTCATTCTGCTAAGTTCTGAATAAGTAATTTCCTGAAACAAATATATCACAGCAAGAAACAGCCATATCTTTTCTCTGGATAAAACAGTATATTAATCTATCAGTTGTCCTACTCTGCACTTGTGATCCTGGCAAGTTCTGTGCTTTTCTGATGAGAGAAGTGCTGCCTAATACTGAATGGAACTAGTCTGTTAGTCCTTACTTGTTAATTAAATGGTACAAAGCTGACTTTAAACACCTGTCAGAGGGAGTTTGGCAGCAATCTGGATTCTCTGCTAAGGTTTGGACCAGGACATTGCTCTCAATCAGGGCAAAAATATGTGTGAATCCAAGGAAAGGAGCAAAGCTTTCAGAGAAATGAATTTCACTTGGTCTTCTGAGAAGCAAGTCAGATGCTATGTATATATTCTGTAGATTAACTAGGAAATATTTCTGGCTAACTCTGGGAAACACTGGGGTTATTGGGCAACTTTAACTAAATCAATCATTGATTCCCTTCACAGTGAAGTTTTCAAAGTGAATACGACCAAGTTGTTAGATAGTTAGCTGAAAAAACAAAGCAATTGAAAATAAAAAAAAATAAAACATTTATCATTTAATTAAATACTCGGGAACCTAAATAAAGCCCTTATTTATAGTTGCCTAGTATAATTTATACAAAACTGCTCAAAAGCAAGATTTATCCACTCTATAGAATGAGGATGGAGAAAGAAAAAGAAAGCTTTGCTAAATGTAATGGTAGGTAGAGACTGAGTGCAGTTTTATTCAGGAAATAAGGAACAAAAAATACCTGAGCAGAAGCTAGCCTGCTTGGATGCACACAGAGCAGCTCCACAGTCTGTGAACACCTACATACTCCTAGCTTGAAGAAAATGCGGAGTGTTTAAATTAGCATTCTCTCTACACTATACAAACTCCCAGAGGCCATGCCTAAACCTCTGTTGTCCCACAGATAGATCTCTAAGATAGACTGTATCAGCCCAAAAATCCATTACATTTATTGTTTTCCCAATCAAGAAGACTTTGTAACTTTTTTATCAAATAATATGAATAGCTTATTTTTTTCTTATCATAGAACAACAGTTTATATTCTAGCTTCCTAACATTACATTCTAATACAATGTGTCTTGAAAATACTTAGTTCCTTTGGCATGAAAAGGAACAGACATTTTAAAAACTCTTTTACTGAGCTAGCCTCCTCTTTTTTTGGTTGAAAGCCACTGCGATCTTATTCTCACACTTGGCATTTTCCCCTGCCTCTCCAGTTATACCTGAGTTACCTAAATTCAGGTTAGGTGAGTCATGTTACACCTCTTTAGCCAAAAGGAATCTTTCAAGAAATAGCCATCCTTTCACCTATGTGAGTTACAAACAAAACTACACAACTAAATATATCTGTTTTCAAATAATAAAGCAACTCCTCAAGCCCAGGTTTGATACAACCTTTTGCAGCTCCCACAAAACCTTCATCAGTTTTAGGTGATGCTTTAGATGAATTAAAGCATTACCGACCTTGTGCTAGAAATCATGTGTTCAGCTCAGCGACTGAGACAACAGAAGAATGGAAACTCAATTCCCAGGAGTCTGGAAGCAGTGCTGGGCAAAGGTGGCAACAAAACAATGGTCATGCACTGTTTTTTCCCCAGTCATGCAGCACCTTGACAACCAGCATCTATTTCTTTCCCGCTCCTTATTCCCTCTGCTGTCACTTTGGCTTTTCCCTAGGGTAGCATCAGAGAGAGGTGACTCCTTTTATGCTTTGACCTCGTGCTTTTCATCTCTTTAGCCACCACAGACGAATAACAAGGCTCTTTTCACTGTCACAGATTGCTGGATTTTTAAGGAGAATACCAGCCTTTGTGGAGTGGCAGAGCAGGATGAGGAATTTTAAAAACAGATATGTTCCTAGATATACCTTATCATACCTGATTAAATTGTTAATAAGTCTGCAACAATTTTCTCTTTTACTGACAACCTGCCAATTCCAGCTTTTTATGTTACACGGAAAGGACAGAAGGAACTCCGACTCTTTGATACTTCTGTAGACATTATTGCACATATTTTTGTTTATTCTTCTAATGTTCATATTGCTGTTCCGTAATTCTACATTGTTGCAGGAATGGTTTCAGGAAATTTTCCTGTATTCAAATTTCACCTCCAAAATGGCCACAGAATAAAATGGATATTCCCTAAATATATAGGTATGAAGCAGAGTAACCTCTGTGGACTCAGAAAACATTATCACACTGACCACTTGTCTCAGTGGTCTCAGACACACTGGGAGCTGGCCAATATTACCCAGCAGTAGAAATTAGGTAGGTTTGAGTAGATTGTTAGGTCTTCAGGATAGTGGCCTTCGTGAGGTGCTTCTTTTTGTGGAGTACAAGTGTAATGCAGCCATGTTCCCTAACTGGTGTCCCAACTATTGATATAATACAATTTTTGCAGAAGCATGATTGAGACTTTCTTTTTTTTTTCTTCACTTGCATATCCTGGTACAAAGCTGATGGACTTTGGATTTTGCGTGTTCCAGCTTGGTGTTTTTAAACCTTAAAACTAATCATTCTTTCTTGTTAAGTT